AATGTCATTTCAATAAATTCAATTTTAAAAAAAGTTCTTTCCACACCTAAAAAACAAACAAAAACTTTTGATATGTTTGACAAACTTCCCAAAATTTGAAAATTAAATAAAATTCTTTTCTTGATCTGAAAGTGAGATTTTCCAAAAAAAAGGACCTTGGAACAGTTCAAAGGATGTATCTCTCTCACTCTCACTCCTTATAAAAGATAAATATTGCCCTGGTGTGGTTTAGTTGGCGGGGCACCGTCCCATGCACTGGAAGGTCGCTGATTTGATCCCCAGTCAGGGCGTGTGTGAGAGGAGGGGATCAATGTATCTTGCTCACATCTATGTTTCTCTCTCTCTCTCTCCTTTTCTCCCTCTCTAAAAATCAATTTTAAAAAAAGAAAGAAATATTAAACCAACTAGGCTTATTTGGTATATTAAATTACATGGGAAGCATTATCAAATAAATGATGCTAACTAAACCTTTGATTATATTTGTGTAGATGTTATTAACATAAATATCCTAGAAATTATATAAAATTCCAAAATATTTGACGTCTTAATATGCTAGAAAACTTACATTCTTTCTGTCTCAAAGTTGTCTTTCCAGTCTCTTAAAGTTGTAAATCTTATGTGTTTAAATTGTAAATATCCAGGAGCTAACTAAAACACTGCCTACAGAGACTGAAGGAAAAAAACTAAAGAGACTTTTTAAAAGTACAGACTACGATATAAGTTCCCTTGTCTAAGCTGATTAGTAAAAGAGCTAAGGTTTGTGGTTTTTGGGGTTTTTTTTTTTTTTTTATGAAACTATTTAAAAAAATAAAGATGAGCCCAGCTGGTGTGGCTCAGTGATTAATCCATGAACCAGGAGGTCACGGTTCAATTCCTGCTCAAGGCACATGCCCAACTTGGGGGCTAGGGCTAAATCCCCAGCAGGGGATGTGCAGGAGGCAGCCGATAGATGATTCTCTCATCATTGATGCTTTTTTCTCTCTCTCTCTCTCTCTCCCTTCCTCTCTCTAAAGTCAATTAAAATATATATATATTTAAAAAATAATAAAAAGATGAAAGAAAAATGACTGTATATAGAAAGTAGGAAATATGTTTTCAAGTAAAAGAAGGTATGAGAAAGAAGATGCACTTTTGTTGAGGGAAAGGAAAATAGATGTGTTTTTTGGATAAGGAAAGATATAAAGGACATGGTTTGTTCTTTGTTGTTATTTTTTTGGTAAAGGAAGAAAAAAGAAAGTAATTTTGTCCTATTTTGTTTCAAAATAAGAATAAGAGTGGAACAAAAGCTGAAAGGTGTATGGAAGCTGCAGAAAGTTTATGGAAAAGGGATCTTGAGAAATTTTATGTGTGGTTGTTAAGATTGGAATGAATAACTAATGTGTGTGTCTGTGTGTGTGTGTCTGTGTGTCTGTGTGTGCATATGAACACATCAGATCTTTAACCATGGCCATTTTTAAAAAAAATATATTTTACAGAGAGGATTGGAGAGGGATAGAGAGTTAGAAACATCGATGAGAGAGAAACATCGATCAGCTGCCTCCTGCACGCCCCCCCACTGGGGATGTGCCCACAACCAAGGTACATGCCCTTGTCCGGAATCAAACCCGGGACCTTTCAGTCCACAGGCCGATACTCTATCCACCGAGCCAAAATGGTTAGGCTACCATGGCCATTTTTAAGTCTTTCGTCATTTACAGACAGTTATTATTTTAGTCTGATGCTTTTATAAAAGTTTCCTACCAATGTGCTTCATCTTCAAGGAGATTTATGGAGAAAACTCTGACACTCTAAAATACAGGTTTCTCACCAATCAGAAAGGACATATGCACCCCTATGTTCATAGCAGCACAATTCACCATAGCTAAGATTTGGAAACAGCCTAAGTGCCCATCAGCAGATGAGTGGATTAAAATATTGTGGTACATCTACACAATGGAATACTACGCTGCCATAAAAAAGAAGGAACTTTTACCATTTACAACAGCATGGATGGAACTGGAGAGCATTATGCTAGGCAAAATAAGCCAGTCAGAGAAAGATAAATATCAATGATCTCACTCATACCTGGAATATAATGATCAACATAAACTGATGAACAAAAATAGATCCAGAGACAAGGTAGCACTGAACAGACCGTCTAACCTCAGAGAGAAGACAGGGGGGTGGGGAGGGCTAGAAATCAAACAAAGGACTTGTATGCATGCATATTAGCATAACCAATGGACACAGATACTGGGGTGGTGGGGGTTTGCCCTCAGGGGTGAGAGTGGCAGGCGGGGAGCGGGGCGGGGTGTCAATGGAGAAAAGGGAGACATATGTAACATTTTAAACAAAAAAATATATAAATAAATAAAATAAAATACAGGTTTCTGATAAACTTCCAGATCACACCATTAAACTGGTTGAGAATTTGCAGAACACTAAGAAAAACTGAATTCATAAAACTGCTGACAAAAAGATCAATACGAATTGCCCTAGCCGGTTTGGTTTGGTTCAATGGACAGAGCGTCAGCCTGTGGACGGAAGGGGTCCCAGGTTAGATTCTGGTCAAGGGCATGTGCCTGGATTGTGGCACACTCCAGTAGGGAGTGTGCACGAGGCAGCCGATTGATGATTCTCTCCCATCACTGATGTTTTTTTCTCTCTCTCCCTCTCCCTCTCCCTTTCTCTCTGAAATTAATTAAAAAATATATTTTTTAAAAAAGATCAATAGGAATTAATAGCATGAGGCTGAATGAACTAGTGAGGATGAACATTTTATGTTTTTTTTATATGAAATATTACTGGGCTTTTAATTTTTATTTATTTTTTTTATTTTATTTTTTTAAATATATTTTATTGATTTTTTACAGAGAGGAAGGGAGAGAGAGATAGAGAGTTAGAAACATTGATGAGAGAGAAACATCGACCAGCTGCCTCCTGCACATCTCCTACTGGGGATGTGCCCGCAACCCAGGTACATGCCCTTGACCGGAATCGAACCTGGGGCCTTTCAGTCCACAGGCCAACGCTCTATCCACTGAGCCAAACCGGTTTCGGCAACTGGGCTTTTTAAATCTTTGTTTTCCAGATATAATTTTTTTTTTCTCCGAAGCTACCTGTGACCTATAACAATTTAGTAAATTATACCTTTGGTAAGCAGAACTGAGTATAAACCACACCTTCATTTTTTCTTTTTCCCTTTAGTTCCTTTCTAGTTCCTTTAATACGTCATAAATAATATGCAAGGCCAAGCACTGAGTATAAATAGCTATTGTTTCCCTTTTCCCTTAATTTCTACCTGGGAAGATAACTCAACCTACTTCACAGGCCAAAATGTGCATCTGGTAGCACACACAGTCAAGGATTTCAATGCCTGGGAATGTCAATTCCAATGAAGGTACCCAATTTGGAAGAATACTTTTTCCTTGGGCAGGTACTGCAATTAACAGTACATGATTAGAAACTTATCACAAACCTTAGAGAAAGTTGCTGGAGCTAGCGCCAAAGAAACAGCCAGCCAGGAAAACTTTTTAAGTTCCTTTGCACAAATTATACTAGATGATAAAATTGTTCTTGACTATACTATTCTAGCTGAGCAAGGTGAGGTTTACTGTGTTAATACTTCTGTTACACTTGGATAAAACACCTTTGGTAAAACAGAGATGGAACTAGATAAAATCTGGGCACAAGTCAAATGATTAACCACTGACACCTCCTGGTTCTCTAATACCTTAGCTAACTTCCCTCAAGCATTCCTCCTGGTTCAGATCTATTCTTCAATTTGAACTTAGCCTTTTATTTATTATAGAAATTTTTGCTGTTATAAACTTTTGTTTTGCATAGCTCAATGTTTTAAAAATACCACTCAGATACTAGTTGCTCAACATTTTGAAATGAGCACTAAGGTTTGTGAGACTTCATATGAGAAGTCTCAAGAAACTACAAAAGAGTTTGCCTGTGGAGTAATATGACGATAAAGCTTTCCTCTGTTCCTCAAATGTGCCCTAAGGCTCCTAAAAAAACAAAAAACAATTTCCCACCTATGTGGCATATGGCATACCAACATACCAACAAGAGCCTTCCTAGTGATGAGGGACTGACAATGGCATGACATACTAAAAACTAGCCTTCTCAGCAATGAGGGACCAACGATGCTTTTAATAAGTGATCAGTACTGTTTTCCAGCAATTGATCAGTGATGCTTTCAAGGAAAGATCTCAATCTAAAGGAAGAAAATGTCAAAAATATAAACTGAGCCAATTTAAAATGGAGTTGGACCTTGAAAAAAATTTTAAAAAATGGAGTTGGAACTGCCATGCATGTCTTACTCCTCAAACCTGTGGAAGGTCAAAACAGGGCAAAATGACCTATGGACTGGGCCTAAAGCAACTTATTTCCTAAACAAACAACTGTTTGCAAAGATAAGAGAGAAGATATGATGACTACCAGACTGAAAATTAAAAACATTCTTTAGAATTAGCACCGCTGTTAGCTTACTTGCCCCTATAGATATTCCTCTCGTCTACTGAAATAGTTGTTCCGCTTCCTTTTCTCAAAAATACCCCTTGCCTTCACTCCTAGTAAAAATACTGTTTGGATTTTTGCCTCAATCAGTGCTTCCCGAATAGCTATTCTTTTGGATCTCAAACAAACGCTCGCTGCCTCTCACTTTTGCCTTTTATCTTTAGGTTAACAACACCAACATCTCGGGAGTGGGGAGTGATCAGCAAGTCAGGCACCTGCTTGGCACCTGAGTCCCCACAGGTGAGGATATGACGGCTACTCAATTCAATTTTTCAAATTGGGGCTTAGGGGATCCAGGGCCACACAGCTGACTCCAAAGCGGATGCACTTGCCAGCAGGCCTTCGGCAAGATAAATAGATGCATGAGGTGCACATGTGTGCACGCTAGCACACCCACACCTGCAGGTGTTTCCTGCTCACGCACGTGCCCACATGTAGCCTGAGTACTGTGCTTTGGTGGGAGACTCTGCCCTGCACCCAGTGTACCCACGCACCTTCTCAAAATGGCCACTGCGGATGTAGTAGTCGGCCAGTGAACACCAGAGCTTGCCCAGCTGGTCTGTGAAGCCGGTAAGGCCCCCTCGGATGATGGCGTCCACGTTGAGCGACTGCACCTTGTCTGGGTTCTGGGAGATGAGGTCACAGAGCTCGTGCCACAGCTGCAGGGTCCAGGAAGGAATTTCAGCCTCAGTCCCTGAGCGGGTAAGCCCTCCCACCTGGCCCGTCTCCCCACAGGCCCACCTGGTAGTTGGACTTGCCAGCCTTGGAGACGAAGCGCTCATCATTCACCACGGTGGCCAGGCGCTGTGCAGCCTCGTCCAGCCGGTCACTTGACTTGAGGTACTCGATGTATTCCTCTGCGCTCTCAGGGCTCAGCTGAGCACCACACACCATGTCGGCAGTCAGTGGGGCCACAGAGCCACACTGCTGTGCCCACCTTCCCACTCAATGGCTCTGAGCCACCTGTTAGCTACTACCACTGTCCTGGCCACACCTGTCCACACCAGGCTCTAGTGGTCTAGCCTCAGCCCCACGGTTTGCACCTTGACCTCCACACTGCCTGTTATACATTTCCGAAGCTGTGTCCCCCACGGCTGCAGTTTTACTCTGGTTTTCAATATGGTCAGCTCATGTGAATCTGTCTACCCAGTGAGACTAACAGCTCCCTACAGGCAGGGACTGTCTTAGTCACACTGCCCTAAACTATTTAAAGAATAAACAAATAAACTACAAACAAAAACCTGCCTGTCTCAAGGAGCCTTTTTCTCATTTATAGCTGTTAAGTGACATCCTGCATGGGACCAGTGTCCCAATGAGCCAGTGGGAAACTCCTGACCTGGGGAACTGGCCCATCTGCCTGAGGCGACCCCACCTCACCCCTCCATGGGCTTACCTTGAGGAAGCGCCGGTAGCCCCGCACAGCTGTCTCAGGTAGTGGGTGTGAGCGCAGGAAGCGCAAGTACAGAGGCCAAATACGAGAGTGCTGTGTGATAGGCAGCGCCCGCAGGGCACGGTCGAAAGTGCGGCGTGTGTGAGTGATACGGCCCTGGTCCACCAAGAACTGACAATAATCCAGCCATAGACGTGGCATCTAGAAGTATGAGGAGAGGCAGGGTCTGAGTTGCTGGCACTACAGCATGGCTACAAAAACACCAGATGTCCCATGGCCAAGCCAAAATGCAGCAGGACCCAGAAGGCTATCCCTCCAGACTAAGTCTAGCTCAACCTCAAGTGCACAAAGGCAATAGGACTCCAACCCTCCTGCTTCATCCACCTCCCGACTCATCCCCCGGCCCAGCCCCCCCACCTCCAACCTTGTGCATGAAAACGAAGGCCCTCTCGTGGCAGTTGTTGACATCTTCATAGGCAGGATCAGTCACACAGCGATGCTTCACCTGGGCCCTGCGTGCTTTCAGGTAGCGGTACCAGAGTTTGTAGCTGGAGGAGGCAGACATTGGTTGGTCAGCTTCATGGAGCACCAGAATCCTTCACCCTACCCCATAAGGCCACTGCTGGGAGAAGGAACCTGGGAGCAGTGACAAGTATCAGCAATGGGGGGATGGGCTGGGATATGAGGGAGGGTGTGCTGACCCATCAGAGGATATATACTCAGTGACGAACCATAGCAACCACTTGGGACCTACTGGCCAGCTCTGCTATCACTGGACAGGTGGGGTTGGGGCTGGGGCTGGGGCTGGGGTAGGAAGGGCAGCTGAAGCCGTCCTCACCTGCAGGGCAGCAGCTTCAGCGCTCGCTCGTACAACTGATTGAGCCTGGGCTTCGGGGCCCCCTGCTTGAACTCAATGTAGCGGAGCCAGCATTTGACAGAAAACTGGTTCCGCATAATTTCCTCCTCATAGGGGAGGTCTTCTTCATCCTGCCAGACAGGTGACGGGGAGAAGGAAGAACTGCCCTCAGAACCTCAGCACAGCACCATCTACTCCACACTCCAGACCCCTCCCCAGATCTTGGTGCCCACCCTGAGCCAGGTCACCAGAAGCCCAGAGAGGACTCTGGTCCGGACTTAGCCTTCAGAATTCTACTGCCCACAACATAACCCAGATCATCAGACTCCTCAGTCACAGGATTCCATGCCAGATATAGACTGTCACCCAGACTTCACTTTTTTGGTCTTCCAAATCAAGTTACCCACTCCCTGGCCCGGATACCAGACTCCTTAGGCTGTCCTGTCCAACACCAGCTCTCTGCCCTGGACAGTGAGCTTCATCTCCTCACAACATGCCTTTTCCTAGCCACCAGATCTTTGGCACTTCTTCAGGCTCCCACCAGCCAGAGTCTAGTTCAGCTGTGCTCCAGAACTTGGAAGCTAGACCTTTACTCAGAAGACAGATATGCACCAGACACAAAGCTTTTAGCCCTAGACACTGAGGAAGAAAGTGAAGAAACAGTGAAATAAATTACACCTTAGGTGACAAAACAAGCCTCAATAACTGAAAAAAGATTGAAATCATATCAAGTGTCTTTTCAGACTACAACTTCATGAAACTAGAAATCAACTGCAGGAACAACATTAGAAAGCACATAAATGTGTAAAGACTAAATAGCATGCTACTAAACAATGAATGGATCAAAGAGGAAATCAACAACTTTGAGACAAATCCCTTCAATAACTGGTGCTGGAAAAACTGGACAGATAAATGCAATAAATTGAAACTGGACCACTTTCTTTTCTTAAATATGTTTTTGTTGATTTTAGAGAGGAAGGGAGAGGGGAAAATAGAAACATCAATGAGAGACAAAAACCCACCCATTGGCTGCCTCCTGCACACCGCCTACTGGGGATCAAGCCTGGAACCCGGACATGTGCCCTGACCAAGAATCGAACCCCGGAGACCTCTTAGTGCATGGGCCACCCTGGCCAGGTGAAACTGGACCACTTTCTCACACCATATACAAAAAGTGAAATGAGTCAGAGAAAGATAAATACTGTATTATGTGTGGAATTTAAAAAAAAAGAATAAACAAAACAATATAAACCATAGATATAACGAACAAGCTGATAAGAAAGAAAGAAAGAAAGGAAGAAAGAAAGGAAGGAAAAAAGAAAGAAAGAAAGGAAGGAAGAAAGAGAGAGAAAAGAAAGAACAAGCTGATAGTTGCCAAAGCAGAGAGGTAGGGGAATTGATAAAAAAGAAAGAAAAGAAATATCTCCCAAACAAGAAAAAAAGTAAATTGAGTCACTATAATCAAGCTGCTAAATTACTAAAATCAGGTAGGCTGAACCATGAGGAAACATTCTATTCTTTTTGTAACTATTCTGGGGACTTGACCTTTTGACCTTTCCGGGGCCATTGCCTGGCTGTACACCTGCTCCCTGAGTATCAACACCTGGACACACACCAGGCCCCGCCGCCCCTGTCCGACCCCCTGAAGCCTCATTGTCCAGACCCCTGCCATGGCCGGGCCTGCCGGCGCCCACACGCTACACTCCCCGGAGCCCACCATCCGGACCATCTGACATCTGACAGGTAACTGTTCTCTGAGCTATCACTCTCGGGCTCTTCTGGGTCCCGCCGGCCATCGCCTGACATGTCCGCACCAGCAGGTCTTTACTTCCGACGGCAGGGTGCTCCGAAGCCAGACACCACGCCTTTCTCCCAGAAACGGTGCCGCTCAGGACCGTTACCCGGACACCAGAGTCCTGGGCCGGCCACCGGGTTTGGTGCCTTTCCTTCCAACACCAGGCCTCTCAAGAGTCAGCCATTCGAATCTCTCTCCTCTCCCGCTCCGCGCGCTCCCCTTTCCGCGCCAGGCCCTTCACCTCCACAGCAGTGCTTCACTCAGGCGCCGGGCTCCGGCACCAGACGTCCACTCCCGGCCAGCCCGGTCCGGACTGCACCTCTAGCCCGTGAGCTTCCTCCCGCCCTTGGGCCGACACAGCTTTGGCCCAGATCCCCGGGGGGTCATCCCCGACCGCCTGAAGCATCCAGACTCTGTCTCCAGTTCCTGCGGACTCACAAAGACAAGGTCCGGCCGCTCCTGCCGCGAAAGTCGCGCCATCACCACCATTTTGCCAGCGTTCCAGCTACAGCCAACAGTCGCGTTGTAATGACGTCTCTATCCGAAGACCCGCCCTCCCCGAGCCAGATCCGTTTCCTATTGGCTGACCACGTTTGGAGCGTGCAGTCGGGTCGCGACTTTCCCTCAGTCTTCTTCAGCGACCGGAAGTAGAGTGAGAGCCGAAGATGATGTCATTAAACGCGAGAGCTCCTCGGCCAATCAACTTCTGCGGTCGAGCCCGTGACTTCCGGAGACGCTGCTGTCTCTGGAGGGTTGGCTTTGGACCGGAGCGACTTTGTGGCCTCAGGGGAGCGACATGGGCGTGAAGTTGGAGGTGTTTCGGGTCCGTGGGCGCCGGGGCGGGTGGGCGCCGGGGCGGGTGGGCACCGGAGCGGGAGGGCGGGGCGGGGCGTCTTCCTGGACCTGAGGAGGCAGCTCTGAGAAGGATCCCAGGAGAGGGTGCTCTGGGGAGGGACCCCGAGATCTGAGAAGACCCTTTAGAGTCGGAAGCCCAGAGGAGGGGCTCCGGGGAGGGCGGCTCTGGGAGGGCTGCTGTGAGGAAGGGCCTGCCGAGAGGGGTGGTCAGAGCCGGGGCTCTGGAAGGAAGAAGGCTGCAGACTCGGGGAGCTCTTGGGCTCAGGATGGGGGGTGTGTCCGGTAGGGAAGTTCCTACCCTAGGGAGTAGACGCCGAAGGACGAGGGGTTCCGGGAGCTCCCGGGACCCGCCTTTGGGGGCGGGGCCGCGAGGGGGGAACTCTGTGCTCCTGGGCCAGGGGGAGTGTGGCCTCCGGGAGGGAGCTTTCAGAAGTAAGGCGCCTTGGGCGATGGCGGCCAGACCCCGTAATCCTGGGGTTCCCGGGGGCCCCGAGGAGGGCGGCTGGGCTGTGCTAGAGGGTGGTCCGCAGGCTCTGAGCGGCCTGCGCCTCGCCGCCCCCCTCGCAGATGACGCTCTACCTCACCTTCCCGGTGGCGATGTTCTGGATTGCCAACCAGGCCGAGTGGTTCGAGGGCTCCGTCATACAGCGGAAGGTGGGCGCCGGGAGTGCTCGTGGGCTTCCGGGGTGGGAGCGCAGGGGCGCCGGTGTCTGCCGGCTGGGAGCTCACCTGCCCTGGGTGTGGGCTTGGGAGGCTCCTGGCTCACCTGTGGCTTTACCCCCGCAGAGGGAGCTGTGGCCGCCTGAGAAGGAGGACCAGGTACGCGACACCCCCTTCCCCCCAGCGGGACAGGGGGCCTGGCTCCCCGCGACCGGGATGGGTCGGGAGCATCGAGCTGAGCAGAGGACCACGTGGTTCCCTTGCTGTCCTCTCCCCACACGGCGAAGCGGATCCACTTGGACCTGCGTGTGACTGGCCCAGGGCTTCCAGTGCGGACACTGAAGTCTAAAGCCTCGGCGGGGGCGTAGGGGCGGGGTGGCGGTGCGGGAGGGCAGGGGGCACCAATGTCTGCCTTCCATGAGCTGACCTGTCATGTCCCACCTCTTGCTCACCGTTAGCGCCAAGAACTAGAAGAATTCAAAGCGAGGATACGGAAGCAGCGGGAGGAGAAGCTCCTTCGCGCTGCCCAGCAGAGCGCCTGAAACCCCCAAGTGCCCGCGTGCCACCCGTGAAACAACACACACTCAGTTCTTTCTCCTGCAAGTGTTTTATTGTCTGCTTTTGGGGGGCACGAGTGGGGTGCAGGATGGCTCAGGCCCTCACGGGGCTTGTGTCTGGGGCTGGGGGCTGCTGTTCCGACGGAAGCTGAGAGCAGAGGGGTCCGGAGGGGTGAGGAGGGGTTGGGGGCTCAGGGTCCCAGCTCGTTTCTGCGCTCCATCCTGTGGAGGAAGAGGGGTCAACCAGAGGGAGAGGCCAAGGGCAGCGCTGGCCCGAGGCGATGCAAGCATTGGAAGGAGGTGCAGGTGGGAACCGTTGTTGCACCGCCCACCGTCTGCCCCCACCATCCTGGAGCTTCTACGTACCTTCGTTGCTCAACAGTTAGGGTGCAGTTTGGGTGTGAGGTGGGGGACCTTGGGGATCCCACTGGGGTCTTGATCAGAACCCAAGCTGTGCATGATTACACGTGACATAGACACACGTGAGTGTATGAGCTCGTGTGCCCTCCTCCCTGAGGATGTCTTCCCAGGAGAGGGGTTTATCACCTCCCTGACACCCTCAGCCATGGCTCTGGCTTAATGTGCCCTCTGCATGACCTTGTGGCCTCTGGGCCTTGTCTGGGCCTTCGTTCTCCTGTCTAAAGTCAGGTATTGGATTGGCCAGGGCCTTGGGACGGGCAAGGACACAGGCAGGCACTCATCTACCACACGGGCCAAATGCAAGTTTCCTCAGTTGTCTCAACAATATTCTGGAAAACTGTTCCGCACGGTACCCAGCAACGTAAAGAGGGGCCGCCGGGTGCATTTGGTTATGGTGTCTCCTTAGTCTCCTCTCATCTAGAACTGCCCTGGTCAAGTGGCAGGACTGCCTGGGTTCCCCCTGGAAGCTCCAGGGGAGAAACCCTTTCAGGTTTGGGCCGAGCTCAGTTTTACGCAGCTGCCATTTCCTTACTGGCTTTGGACTGTGTGTGTGTTGGGGGGAGGGGGGAGGGGGGGCCGGGATGGGAGGTCCTTCAGCTTCTAGAGGCCCCCTGCATTTCTTGTCTTG